CCTAGGGCGCTTGCTCTAGAACGCAGTCGGTCTCAGTAGGATTTTCACAAACGCTAGGAAAGCAGCAGATCACAATGATATTCCTCGTAGCTGCTCTTTTCTTAACAGGTGAGTGTGGTTTACACTTGACATATTATATAATTTTGTCTTTCACCATGTTGAAAGACCGCCCTGTTAGATTATAGACATTTGATCAATTGCTTTCAAGCTATTGTATAAGCGGGTATAAGGATTTATTTTGTGTCAAAAGTTTTTTTCTCCACAGTGAAACACTGTATACTAATTTGAAATTTAGTACTTCCGTTGTCCTTTTTGCGCAAATAAAATTTGTACAACTGTAAGCTTTTTCGAGTTACGCTTTTTCAGGCTCTTTCCAAACTTTTCCATTTGTACAACCAGAATAGAAACCAAATATATTTAGATAAGAAACATAGAATTTCAAACATAAGTTTTTTTCTTTCCGTTCTGATTAGTAAGCAATAATGACTTCTTGCACGAACCTATGGCCCTCCCATCATGACACTCTAATTAGCATCCTATATAGCATACATCTACAAACTTTGTAGGATCAGCATGGGCGCAAGAAGCACAAGTTCAAGAGGCGGAGAACTCAACGAGAGCGCAAGATTCTGGGTTAATGAAGGATTCCAAGAGTAATGAAGGACAATCGTCAGTAAATTCTGAGTCAACGCAGAATTCTATGGGAGTGCAAGGACAAACTGAAAAACCAATACAGAAAGACATGACAATGATAGATCCTAAGGAAGATCAAGTCGTGCCTTCTCGAAAGATGCGACTGAAATTTGAGGGCCCAACATATCAATGCATACGCACAAACTCAATGGCGCAAGGCGTGCAAGGCAACCTCCCAGTTTACCAGTGCATACCTACAAGTGAAATACCTCCTGCTGCCTTCGAAATGCTAGCTGTACCAGCACAGGGCCTGAAAATGCAAGGTAAGGAGTTGCAAGGGCCTACAAGTCGAAGCTACATGGGAATGGAGCAAAGGCCTATGAAAATGCAGGAGACTATGTCAAATCACGACTATATGGGAAAAGAACGACCCACGCGACAAGAAACCATGTTAAATTCTGACTACAGGGGAATGCAAAGACCCACGGAAATGCAACTAAATCGGGACTACATGGGAATGCAAAAACCCAAACGATTTGAAGAAACTACGTTAGATTCCGACTACATGGGAAGTCAAAGACCTACGGGAATGCAAGGAAATCGGGACTACATGGAAATGCAAAAACCCAAGCGATTTGAAGAAA